ATAATTCTTAATACAGTTACTGTATATCCTGTTATTCTTTCTAATTTAAAATCAGCAGTACATTCAGATGATGGGATATGAATGTATTGAAGGGAGTTGTTAAATGAATCAGTGATTTGATTTAAATCAATTGTTTTGTGTTTGTTTTCTATTTGGATAGTGCATAATTTATCGGCATAAGTGGCAATGGATAATACTAATGCTGGTTCATTAAACAAATACTCATAATAATTTCCATCATAGTAAGTGCATTTGTTGATCGGGAAATAAGTGAACGAATGGAAATCATCAACAACATAATATTTGTCAGCAAACACACAAAGAAACAATAATAGGGATAATATCATCTGTTGATTTGATGAATAATAATTTATATTATTTCATTTTATTCTTTTATTCTTCTTTTTATTATTCATTTTTACTTAATTAAGTTATAGAACACCAGAGTTGATAATGAATCATAAGTAAAATTAATCATTTTAATATATTCATTATATTCATTATATTTATATCATATGATTATATTCATTTTATTCATTATATTTTATATATTATTTATGTTGATTCATTCTATATTAAATTATTTTAATATTTATATTATTTATTCATGATTCATTGATTTATATGATTTATTGATATCATAATATGATTCTATATATTTTGTATTTATCTTCTTTTTGTTGATTTAATATATAATTATTTATTTATTATTTATCATCAAGATATTATAATTTATATTATATTTGATTTTTATTAATTTTAAATGATTCATTATGATTATTAATTATATTATGATTATTATATTTTAATGATGTTATAAATATTTTCATAATTACATTCATATAATGATATAATGATAATTAATAACATTATTCATATCATCTCATTTATTGATTAATATTATTCTTCATTTTACTATATTTAATTTGATAAATTCATTGAAATTTAATTATTCATTAAATATATTAAGAATATATTCTCTTGATAATGATAAAATTAAGATATTCATTATCAATATCAATAATGTTATTTTTCATATTAATGTTTTTTATTAATGAATTATACTCTAATTTCTATGATTGAGTTCATTTTCATTTTAATATATATTTTAGTTATTTATTTTATTTTATGTGATAATTTAATATTATTAATATATTCTTTATCATTATTTATATTAATATTTATTATTTTTATTATATTTTCTATTTGTTCATTTCTTAATTTCTTATTTAATTTCTTATTTAACAAATTAATTCAAAACAATACAACAAATCAATTAAAATTTTATTTGATTAATTTATTGTGTTTTATTTTATTATTGTTTGATTATTATTTCTTGTTTTTTTTTGATATTCAGTGTTTTACTCTCTTCTTCTTATATCTCCAGAATTGTCTTTTTCATAATTGTAGTTTTGATCATTTGTAATGTCAATGATGATGATTATGTTCTCAATATTTGTTGTTTATTTATCAATAATGTCATTATTTTCTTCTTCTCAATTTCTGAAATAAAAAAAAATAAACAATAAAATGATGATGATTTGATATTAATTGATTTTGTTCTTCATTTTCTCTTTGTGTATTATTTAATTCTTCTTTTATTTTTTCTGTAATCTCATAATTTTCAATTCAACTTTTTTGATATTCAATGATTTTATTTTATTTATTTCTTATATTCATCTTCAACACAACAACAATATTTAATTTCTCATAATTAACCAGGAGAATGATGAATTCATCTTAATTCATATTTCTGTGATATTTATATTTTATATTCATTTATTTTTCATTGAAATGAAATATTTTATTATTTTAATTTAGAGTTTTCTTATTTCATTATATGTAGTTTGAATATTGTTTATTTGTATTTTCATCTTTTTTATTTCTTCTTCAATCTTCCTGACTGTTTCTCGTGCTTTTTGAATCATTTCATTTGAAATAGTTCGTTCTTCTTCATTCTTTTTTGATTGAAATTATTTAATAGTTTCTTCTATTTCATTGATTTTATTTTGAAGTGTTAATTTATTATTTGTTATATTCTTCTTTATCTTGTGTTTTTTATTTATTTTATTTTAAATTTATTATTATTGCAGTTTTATTTCATTTCTTTGATTCGATTTTTGTTTTTGATTCATTTTTCATTTATTTTAATATATTCATCATTTATTTTGTTTTTTATTTGAATTCTTCTTTGTTTTTCTTTATTATTTTCTTCTTTCTTATTGAATACTTCTTGGATAATATTATACAATTTCTTTACTTTCATACTTTTTAAGTATTTCTGATTATTCTCTTTTCTCCCATTTTCTTGTTATTCTTTTAATTTTTATTTTAATTTCATTTGTTGTTAATAATTTAGATTTCTTATTATATAATGTTTATTATCATTATATTTACATTATTTTTATTTGTTTTTATTTGTATTCTTCTTTTTCTATTCACTATTTTCTTGTTATTTCTTTTATCATAATTATTCATTTTATTATTATTGAAGTTCTTTCTTTTCTTTGAACATGAATATCTGTTTGTTGTTTGATTTTCTTTACAAGATTCTATTACATTACTCAATAAGCATTACAACAAAATATAATGTAATTCTGAATTGATAAAAGGAACAAAATAAAATCAACATAGAAAAAATTGTTTATAATTCAAAATTCCTTTTTTTAACATAAGAAAATATGAATTATTTTTGGTCATGAATTAAATCGTAATAATGAAGTAAAAATTCGTCTAGATTTCCTTCTGGTAAAGCAGGATAAATTTTTCCATTATCATCTGTTATATTCCCCTTTAAAATTTCATCAAATTGTTTGTCCAATATACTATTAATTCCTCTAAATGCTTCACTTACTTTTTTCCCCCAAACCATATACCCTTGAGCTACTTCGTATGGTTTACTTATTTATTAATTTAAATTTATTTAATTTTGTTTTAATTAATAAAGAATAAAACAAACAATGGGCATGGCACAGTAGAAATAATTGATCCCATGTTTTGTATTTTATCTGCATATTTAATCATTTTGCCACCATAAGAAATTGTTCCACTATGCTCAATTTGTAATTTTTTTCTTGTTACTTTATCAAGTTTTTTATCATCTGTTACCTCACGTACATATTGAGTAATTTGTTTACCAAAATGTTCTTCTAATTCTTCAAATGTGGTGTTTGTGTCTTCTACAGTATCATGTAATAATGCACCACTCAATATCTCAATATCATTAATACCTGCATCTTTTAATATTTTACATACTTTAATTGGATGTTCAATATAGGACGCGCCATCTTTTCTAAGTTGAAATCGGTGTTTGTGTGTAGCAAATTCTAATACAGACAAGAAAAAATCAAAATCTAAATTCATTTCAAAAAAGAAATTATAAATGATTTTATAAGTTCTTGTATTTTTAATTTTTTATGTTTTTTATATATAAATAAAATCAAAAAATATATTTTAATAAAAATAAGTTAATTAAATGTTAATAGTTATATTTTCTATTGTTCATTCTTCAGTGCAGATTATTCATTTTCTTTTAACATTGTATTTTCATTATCTATAGTTTATTCTTTGATTTTAGTTGTTGAATTGTGAAAATTTCATTCCTTCATTTATTTATTGTACAACAAAGTATTTCAGATATCTTTGATTTAAATATTCATCATCTAAGTTATTATCTGATTTTAATGAGTATTAAAATTCGTCTTTACTTTTATATTTTAAGAAGAATATATCATTATCATTATATTATTATGATTAATTTTCATTTTATCATCAATCATAACAAATATAGTTTTTCATTGACAATATGTATATTAACAGATATACATGTATTCTAACAAATAAATAATACTATCACCATTATAAATAACTACACTTTTATTATCAATGATATTCAATCAACACAAATAATAATCACTGATATTCTTACCATATTGATTAATATGTAATCTAATTAATATGGTAAGAATATCAGTGATTATTATTTGTGTTGATTGAA